AATAGGTATTTACCCATTAGCCACGTGAAGACAGGATCAAGGCAACTCCTGGCTGTCATTTCCCTTCTCAGTCCATTGCACTCTTACAAAGAAGGATGTAATACACTGGCATTGCAGTCACTCTCTAGTGGCTGACCCCCAGGACTACTACAATCACTTGCTCATTACTCATTGCTAAGCTTAGACCAAGTAGCAGGAGATGTTGTGTGTTTCTCAGCTGATGCAGCTAAGACAGCGGGTGAGCTGTAAGGCCGTCCAGATGTTAGCAAATAATCCCATCTGCAAATACTGGGGCATGCAATTAAACACAGTGGTATGACATGCTAATAAACCAATATGCAAAAGAAATTGGTATGCAAATCAGCAGCATGCCGCAAAGCTACTGGGGTTCTTCCAGGTTTACTCTGAGCGCAGTTTCCAGCCCCTGATACTAAGGCACTGCCTTTCACTGAAAATCCCCATAGGGCTCCCCTTGTTTTGCAAATTGCAGCAGGGGCCGTTGCCCAATAAATCCTTCCTCGGTCGAGTATTGAACCCAGTTCTTTATCCAGCCGAGATCACAGTCCACCCATGTGTTTGTTCAATAACAGGCGCAGGTTGTCTGTGGGTTGGCGGGTCAGGGCCATGTTCATCTGAATCGATCTAATATTAAATTATTCAGTGTGAAAGGTGGAATTTTCCAGAAGCCTGTATCTGAAATTGAGCAAGTGTGCCTAGAAGCGTGCGGTCCCCGGATATTTCACGCAACAGCTACAAGGTGGCTCGCTAATCCTGCAAATCACACGTCTTGGGCACGCTGCATTTCTTTTACGTTCTTTCTCTAGCAACTTGTGGCAAATAGTATAAAGTGCAGATCTGAAACTGCAGTTCCTGGGGGCCGCCTCAGGCTAAACTTACTGTTTTGACATTTATTTCTATTTTCCAAGTCGCACTGTTTGGCTTTTGTGTTTTCACGTTTCATCATCGCTCGGAGACGACTAAGGAGGGATATGACACAGGTGTATAGAATCGGGACTGGTGTCGAGAAAGTGACTGAGGAAGTTGTAACACAGCGCACACTCGCTGCTGTGGTGCCTCCTGCTGGCTACCTCGGGAATGAGCTCATCCTAGCCTCAGAGCACCTCCTGTTGTTGCTACTTATCTTTTCATTATCAATCTCCACCACTGTAATTGAGACCCCACGTCCCTCCTGGCCTGCAGTGCCCCTTCTCCTGGGTACCGCCCCGCAGCAGTGCACACACACTTGGGCTCCTCCTCTGGGTCACCTGGTGAACCCCAATCCCTTAAGCTCACCTCGCCTCAGTGACCCACTGCCAGTCTTCATCTAGCCCCTTCCCTCAGGGGCAAACTGCAGTCTGAAGTGGCCACTCATCATCGGCCAGGGAGTTGGGCCTGCAGCCTCTTCCTTCCCTGGCTGCCTCCCCACAGCCCTAATACCTCCTCCGGCCCTGACAGGAAGGCCTCTGCCTGGGGGTTTGCCAGGCTGGAACTCCCCGAGCTCCTCCTGCCCTTCTCCAGCACTGCACTGTCTAAGGTAGCCAGGCCCATCTCTCTCCAGGGTGGTCTGGTCTTCCCTCTTTTATACTTGCTTGGCCAGCTCTGATTGGCTGCCTCCCGCCTCTTTCAGATTGGCTCTCAGCCCCAGCCTTCTCCAAGGGCTGGCTTTTAACGCTTTCTAAGCTGGAGCGGGGTGACCACCCTGCTACAGAAGTGTTATTTACCCCTTCACATAACACAAGAACCAGGGGTCACCCAATTAAATTAATAGGCAGCAGGTTTAAAACAACCAAAAGGAAGTCCTTCACATATCAGGCAATCAACCTGTGGAACTCATTGCCAGGGGATCTTGTGAAGGCCAAAACTATAAGGGGTTCAAAAAAAGAACTAAGTTCATGGAGGATAGATCCATCAATGGCAATTAGCCAAGATTTCCAGGAATGCAACCCCATCCTCTGGGGGTCCCTAAGCCTCTGACTGCCAGATGCTCGGACTGGACGACAGAGGATGGATCACTTGATAATTTCCCTGTTTTATTCATTTCTTTTGCAACATCTGGTGTTGCCTACTGTTGGAAGACAGGATACTGGGCTAGGACCATTGGTCTGATTCAGTATGGCCATTCTTATGTTCTTATCTTAATAATCCTCTTTCCACTGCTGGGAAGTCATCGTTAGGACAGAAAGGGCAAGATTAACCCTTTCATTGCATGGCCACTCATCCCCCACCAGTCCTAGAATAGTCAGAGAATTACAGTATAGTACAGCCTGGCAGAGTGGTCACAGTCCAGCCTTTGTCTGTCTTCCTTATTCAGATTGTAAACAGTCTCTCATCATGAATCCGTGCAGCACCTGGCACAATGGGACCCTGATCTCAGCTGGGGCAGGGGCTGTCCCTCACTAAGTTACTGTGCAGTACCTGGCACAATGGGGCATTGATCTCAGCTGGGGCCTCTAGGCACTGCTGTGATACAAATAATAATAAATGTTCATTAATGAGAGCACAAAATCTACTTGCCCATTTATAATGGGACAACTAATGACATTTTACCTGCCTGTTAAAATAAATTTGCAAGGCTGGTGTGTGGATTATGGATTATTATTGTATACTCACCCCCAAATCGAGACCGGATACCTTTCTGGAAGGTATATGCTTTAGAGGGTCACCAGTTATTGGGCTCAATACAGGGGGAACTGAGTGAAATACAATAGCCTGTGCTTTGCAGGAGGTCAGACTGGATGATCAGTTGGTCTCTTGAAAATCTGTGCCTTTTGGACCAGATATTGCCTCGGCCAGTGTAAATCGGTGTCGTTTCACTGACGGGAGTGGGGGTAAACGGCTTGACATCAGCTGAGCATCTGTTCCATTCAATACTCACTACTCATTCAATACAGTAACTCCACTGAGGCCAGCCTGTGATCTGACCCTGAGTGTATAAAGTAACCCTTTGGGGCAGGGACTGCATCTTGCTGTGTGTAGGTACAGCGCCTAGGACAGTGGGCTCCCGATCTCAGCTGGCATTTCCATAATACCAGGCCACAAAGACGACTTGCTCCCTGTCACCCTGATGGAAAAATTAAAATCTTGCTTGTAAAACAAAGGGCGAGGCTGATTATTACAGCAAGTCTTAGGCCTTGGGCTCACACACGGATTTGGGACCAGCGCCTTGGCTGGTGCAAACCAGCATTGCTCTAACGAAGTCGATGGCAGTTGGGCCGTTTACGCCAGCTGAGGATGTGGCCCTCGGGTTTTAAATGGAGCTAATGATGGAAGCATCTGCCCAGCTCTGTATTTATTATTCATATTGCATTAGCACCTCGAGGGCCCAGCATGCTAGGTGCTGGTCATACATAGCAAGGGGCAATGGCTCTGTCCCAGAGATTCATCATCCAGAGGCAATGCTAGAGGTCACACTGCAGGTCCGGGGCAGAGCCTGGAAGAGAATTCAGATTTCCTGGGTTCCAGGCGACTGCCTTAGCCATGACACCACGTTGCTTTTACTTTCACCGCTCCCATTCTATTGAGCCCTCCTTGGTCCCGCTAGCCATATGGCATTGTCACCGCTCAGACTTGTGACACCCGTTGTTAGGTAAGCCCAGTCGGCTGTTTAGCCATAAGTAAATACACTGGAACTGGATGTCTTTGGATATTGTCCAGACTGAAGCCCTGTCCAAATACCACTGTCATGGAAAGAAACCTGTTACTGGAAGCCAGCTGATAACCTGCCCTCCCCCATTAACCCTTCCCTGGTTTGCTTTTACATAGAGGAAGGAAAAAACAGACTCTGAGATGAGTGATCTCAGTGGGGCGAGGCAGGTTCATACCAGTGGAGGATCTGGCCCAGAGATCTGAAGGTCTGGTTCATCAAGGAGGTTAATCTCTAAAATGCCAGGTACTGGATTACAGGGTTATTGCAGGTGAACACCGATAGGTTAACCGGTGCCTGTGCAAATTGCTGTTTCGAGCTTCAAAGCCACCGAAGGGATTTTGATGCCCATCTGCCATTAAAATGTGTCTGAAACTCCTACATGGCTTTGAAGATGCCAACCATGATGTATTGTTTAGGGGCACAGGACCTACCACACTGGATCAGATCATAGGGTCATGGCCAAGCATTACCATTACCAGACATTTCAGAGCCAAGTGCAAGAAACTCTACTATGGACAATTATAGCCTGCGTGGGGAGGGGACATTTTCTCTTAACACCCGTTGCCTTATGCCCTGAAGCAGGACTATCATGTGGCAATAGGTTCCGCAGGCTAATTTCACATTATTATTTCCTTTAATCAGTTTTATGTTACCTGGCAGTAGCACCCAAAGGCCTTCTTTGTGCTAGGTGCTGTGCAAACATACAGAGCAGGTGTAGATGATGGGTGGTCGAACATGCTGGTCCCACCATTGCTACCAGCAGCGTAGATTCCATAACAGAGTGTAGAGGAGTCCTGGCCTAAGAGACAGTTTCTGCCCCAAAGGTTTTACAACCCAAGTGTGTGGGATAGACAGAGAGATCCACCCTATCGGGGCTCCCTTGACGACTGGGACCGCCTTCCCTACTGAAACATCCCAGGACTTGCCCAAGGTAAAACAGAGTCAAAAGGCAGATCCAGGCACAGAACCCAGGAGTCCTGATTCTCAGCCTGCCCCCTCGTTGTAACGCAGTAGATCCCACCCAAGCATTCTGACTCCCAGCCCCCCTGCTTTATCCCACTTGATCCTATTCCTCATTCACAGCTGGGAGCAGAACCCAGGCCCCCTTCTCCATGCTAGGCCTGAACTGTGGTATTGATCAGTGCCCCACCATTCTGATCTGTGGCCAGCACCTTGGCGTGGAGTAAACACAACCGCAACCTCAGGTCCCTAATTCCAACTCCCCCACTTGGAAAGACAAATAAACCCTTGTGTCAAGGGAGTGAAGAAAATATCGTTTGTTCTGAACTTTTCAGGTGTCCTGGGCTCCTCCCCCTCACTGACTAACCCACCCAGCTGTGTGCACGAGGGCTCAGCTTACAGGCAACTCAGGATAAATAGCCCAGGAGGAGCTACTTCTCCTGACCCTCCTGTCCTCACCATGGGGGGCTCTGCTCTCTGCCTGGTGGCCGTGTTTGCTTTCTACTTCCCGGCTGTTTCTCACAGCCAACTGTAAGTACCCCGCGCTTCTGCCACGGTGATGGGGATATTACCTGGGTTCGTTACATGGCTGCCAATGGAAACCAAGCTCAATTTCCCTCTCTTCTCTGCTACTGTGTGTGGAGTGGAACAGGCTGTAGAAATTCTCTTCCTCACCTGGTCCAACCCTCTTCTCCCTCGCTCAGTTCCGAGGCTAATTTGGGGGTTTGGAGGATGGATTTTTTTTAAAGAATAAATTGGATCTTGAGCCTCTCTTGATCTATGTGAACCAGGTGTAGACGGAGAGTAACTCCATTTAAAAGAATGGGGTTGCACACCTCTGAAATGCACTGAAATCAGTGGGGTTGTCTCTCCTTTGGCTTCAGTGGGGTTGTCTTTCCTTTGGCTTCAGGCAATAAAAGAGACCAGAATCAGGTTCTATAGGGCCACATCTTGAACTCCTTGCTCAGTTTCTACATCCGCAAGACACGAAGTGAGGCTAAATTCTATTTTCAGTGTATACTGGTTCAAATCTGGAGTAACTCCACTGACACTGGAGTAACTCCACTGACTAAGGGGATTGCTGATGGTGCATGAGGCAGACCAGAACCCAGTTCACTTCCAAGGGGCTGGTGGGCGTCTGAAGCACAGTAGTCCACAGCTTGGGCACTGCACTGGGAGTCAGGACTCCTGGGTTCTATTTCCAGCTGTTGGAGGGAATGTGCCTGGGGGGGCCAGAAGATGGGAATGGGAGTCAGAACTCCTTAGTTCTACCTGACGCTCTCACAAGGAGGATATCCGGGAGACATCTGGGTTCTAGGAGGGGAATGAAGTCTAGTGGTTAGAGCCGGGTGGTGTGACTAGGAATCAAAACTGCTGGGCTCTATTCCCAGCTGAGTCACTGACTAGCTGTGTGACCTTTTCTGTGCCGGCCTCTCCCTCATCTATGAAAGGGGGATCATGACAACTACCTACCTCTGTAAAATGCTGCGAGATCTATGTCTGGCGAGTGCTTTGAGTGTGACCCTGGGGCTAAGCTTCTATTGTCCATCTGACCGATTGGCTGCCTGGCATGGTTACCGCCTCCCGGCCTGTTCATGTCTGTGCTGGGGTGGCCAGATGAACAGCCAAGAGCCAGACCAATTGCCCATGTGCTTGGCTCTAAAGCTGGGAAGGGATCTTGGTGCCAGGGCTGGCAGTGATAAAAGGGAGGAGG